TTTTTTTTGTGAAGTCGAACCTCCGCGTAAATTTTGGTGTTCCGTCGCGCGATGTTTTTAAACGCGTACCAAAATTCGTGGCTGATCGGATCGTCCAAAGGTATCGAATTGGCGAGTGGTCTCGAGTGAACAAAGCGATCGTCGAGATTCCATTTCGACGGCTTAAGCTAGTGACTCGGAAAGTGAAATCAGGTGTACGTGTTTAATGAACGGTAATAGCATTTTCAAATTGGTTACCTGTCCGAGGTGTTCCGCAAATAACTGCTTTCTCCAAGAAGATGCAAAGAGGCCCACGATAACTGGCTCTCCGTTCATTTTTGATGCGATTTCGTTTTCCTTATGCCTGAAGAAATATTTTTTTTCACTCTCTTGACAGATCACACTTCTGGTCAGTTTTTTTTTTTTTTTTTTTAATATTCTTCCGATTAAACTTCTTACATTTTTATTAAGCACGATTAAATATTTGTATTAATCCATTATATATTTTCAAGTGGAACTCAAAAGAAAATCATGCTTCACATGACATACATTTTGCCCAACAAAAGGCATCCAGGAACAAAAAAGTTATTTATGCGGGGTACACAACACTGCCTTGTATGATTTGGACCGGAGTAACGCGGGTTGGTTTTATGGGAGAGAATCCGCTGTTGGGGTCAAATTCGGGTCCTTTGTATGGGTGTTCGTTCCAAGATTAACCATATTAACTTTATTTAGAACCAATACCACGCGCTCCCAGGATTTTCAGTCTGAAATTTTGATAAAATCATATCCCTGAGTAAGACGCATGCCCCATTTTTAGAGACTGTGAAACTGAAGTGCCGGTATTTGAAAATGAGAACACCTAAATTTGAATTTACACGTGAATCAAACCTAAATTAAACGAATTTTCATTTTTATTCATTGAAATGAGCTACAGTATTCTATTATAATATGACAAAATTGTCCCATTAGAATCAAGGATCATTCATATGTAAAATTTTAGATATTTTTGAATACAGCTGTATTTTATACCTGCCTATGTTGCCCAACCCCATTTTTCCTCTTAATTTTGAAGAAAAAAATTTGCGCGTGGTACTTCAGTAACTATGGTACATTATCATTGAAGTGTTCTTCAGCCTTATGGTAGTGATGGATTTGCATAGAATTGATATTCGAAATTGAAGTAAGAATCTGGACGCGTGAGTGAACACTAGAAGGAGCGTTCCGACTGGATTCATAAGTTCCTACTTGTCATCAATGACGAAGGCGATTTCAGAGTCCCTGCTCCCCAGCATGCTCCGATCGTTGATGTTCGCTGACCCACAAATGACTCTCTTGTCGTCGACAATCATGAGCTTAGAATGCACGTAAATCAGTTCAGTCGCTAGATCTCCATTCAGCAATCTCCCATGCGTCCTAAGTGAGAACACTCCGATGTACTTCTCCCACTGGATCCCCACGTCCGTGAGTCGCTGAAGCAAAGAATGCTTTCCCTTGGATAATGAATGCGCGTTCCAGTCGGTAATCATCCTCGCTGCGGTTCCCAGCACGTTTTCCCCTTTACCCCCTGGAAACGCCGGCAATAAGGGGATGATGATGAAGACCCGGAATGTCTTCAGCTCTTTGGCTGCTCTAACGACGCGGTTAAAGATGGCGTCGCTGATTTCGTTGCGAGTGACTTTGTTGAGCGGTGATGGCGAGACGAAGAATTGGTTCTCGATGTAGATGAAGTATTCGGCTTCGGCGATTGATTCAATGTAGGCCTTGTGTATGCTAGACTCCGTTACGTTTACGCCCGCGCTCCATTCTGACACGCTGCGCACCACCTGGTGTTTTCGAAATAAATCCGGCATATTTTCTACAGTGGATTATCCCTGCCATTAATGAAAAGTTAAAGTACCCCATGCCAATTTTTTTTCTATGTTTTTGGAACCGGCAAGTATTGTATTCTAAAATGCATAATCAAAATTTAAAAACGAAAAAATTCAAACTAATGGAGGTTTGATGCAGAGGATTTAAAGAATGGTGAAGGGATCCTGGGAAATTCAAATGTTTTTTATTTAATCGGCGCATCCTTCATAATGAAATGACTTTTTAAAAAAGTTTCCCTTATTATATGTCAGTTGCGAAATTGGTTGAAAAGAAACAATTTTCCAATTTCATCTTATGCATGGCGCGGGGAATGGAAAAATGGAATGACGATTACAGCAGTATTTACCTGGACATTGATTGGCAGCAGAAATGGTTTGAACCGTATCTTTTTGCCGTGATCCTCCACCCGAAAGTGGACCACAGATTTTGGCACCAACATCGGATATTCGCGTGTGACTCTACGGTTTTTGTACCTTGCCTGAAAGTGAAACTCACGCTCAAATCATTCTATAACTAAATTCAAATATAAACCTGGGCATGTACTTTACAATGATTCCATCTTTCAATGAAGTGCCTGGCTACATCCCGTGCTGCTCTTCCCAAGACCAGAACGGAAACATCATGCCAAGGCATCCTCGGAGTGCTTTTCCGATCAATATCAGCTGGAGGGAATGAAACATTTAATACATTCGTTTCCCATTAAAGGGAACTTACACGTATGTCTTCCAGGAAGAATTTCATTATATGGAAAACGCAATTTTCTTCAAGATTAACAGTAAAAAATGATCATCACTTTCATCTTATCTGGAATTTAGAATGATTAAAATTCTTTCATTCAAATCTTTCTAATTAAGGAAGGTTAAAAAAATACTGTATTAAATTTTAACTGGCCTGATAAATTTTTAGCACCCTGTGACATGGGTGGAGAAGTGTGGCTGTAACTAGAAAGTTTCCACTTAATATTGTGCAGTGCTTCAAAGTGAAGAAAAGGATTTCTCAAATCCGAAGAAAATCCCATAATACTGTAACCTAAAAGCATCATGGGCTACGTCATAATTTTTTTTACTAACACACCTACCATAGAAATATCACAGGTCGCCTCCAACTGGGACAACCCTCCTATACAGTATATGGATATATTTTCTGGATAAATCTCTTCATTGGAGAGGCCTTTTTTGAGATTTTTTGGCGTCACATTTCCAACTTGAATGCAGAAAATGCTTATATTACAGTACTTCAAAAAAACTGAAGCATTAAAATACATTATGCTGGACAATGATGGCACTGATATGCTGGATTTTTGTGTATATGATAGCCTGCATTGCGATGACGAAAACCAGCATAATGACGGTCGCGCTTCTTAGTTTTTTTTTTATAGAACACAAAGTATTCCCCCATGGATAAAATTTTCTCACGCAAGTCCTTTTTTTATCCCAACAAAATTTTAAAATATGTGATCCTTTCCTTGTGTGGGGGCAGGAAATCCTTCCATATGAGCTCGAATTTCCACTAAATTTATCAATTGGACACATTTTGGAACATTGTAAATCAAACTTACCGCTGTAAGGAAATTGAAGGTTTTTAAAATCGCTTAATGTGGAATTCGAGAAATCCTTTCCCGGCCAAAGCATATGACCTCTTGCGGTTGGCGTGTGACGAAGATCTATCTGAATATTCTCCAGACTTCGCCGTTCATCAGCTTCACGCATTACCCTGGAAAACGTTATTAAAAAATGTAAAAAAAAAAAGAATTGGTTGACGTTGAAAAAAATATAGTTCGTGCGACATACGCTAAATTCAATTTTTGTAAGCCTTCTTCTTGCTGTGCGGCTTCCCCCAATGTATCAAAATCATCCTTGATGGTGCCTCTCCTTTCCTTGAAAGTCCTTTTCTTGCTTGCCTGCTCGAAGTTTTCAGAAAAACTTGTGAGTGCGGTTTCTCGTAGCTTTTGAAAAATTAACCAGGTCATCGGCGCGCCTTCTGGTTGATTTTTCAATAATTCAGTGGGCACGGATTTCTTCTGTTGATTTATTCCAATTTTCTCCGCGTAATCCGCCAACCTGGTTGGAAGCACAACATTTTCTCCAATGAAGCTAAGGCAAGAATATTTCAAATTAAAACCGCTGGTAAATTAGAAAAAAGGGAGATTAGACCAAAAATGCTTTGATTTTGCTCCCTTGAATTGTTGAAATTGGCAAGAAATTAACTGAAAATTCGAAGTAGATGGATTTTTTGCTGGTCCGCAGGAAATTTTCTTCAGCATAATAAATGTATTCAAGACAAGTCATGAAGTTTTTTATTTTGATCTGAAATTTTGTAAATACTGTATACTTTAGCAGTTGAAATTAACTGATGAAAAATAAAAGTTAGTTTTTTTCCTAACAAAACTTGGGTTCACAAATTTCACCTGGTGAAATTTATTATTTCGAGCATTCATTCCCAGAGACCTTTCTTGAAGCCCAGCTTTTCAACTTTTTGAAGACATTCCAATATACTTTAGTTGCTTCATTGGTTTTTGACTCAATATTTGCAGTTACATTTTTGTATGAAGGACTTTGTGGCATGTATTATAAAAATGATTTTAAAAATTACAGGCCTTGAAACATTTTCAGTTTTTTGTTTAATTCCTTGCTGGTCAGCAAAACCTTGTATGGAAATGTACCAGTCCGCAAGCAAAAATTATGGAAATTTGAATAATGGTTGGGGAACACTAGTGCCCAAAATTTCACGGAATTATTAAAATCCCTCAGGGCAATGTAAATTGAGTTATGACAAAATTAAATACTGTACATATATAGGCTTCAAGGAGACGGTTGGCTCTTGCATGTTGGATTTAGGTAATTCTTTATATGCAGTGAGACCCCCTGATGTGGACATAATTGGTGCATCAAGAGTGTCCCTTTCGAAATAATAAATTTCACCAGGTGAAATTTGTCCCAAGTTTTGTTAGGAAAAAAAACTAAGTTGAGTCTTGTTTTCCCATAGACTTGCATTATATAATTTTTAATTGGCATTGTACAGAAGAAATATTCTGCAGAATTCCCTGAAAAAAAATTGTTTGCTACTTGAATTTGAATTAGTGAATACATTTTCATTTCAATAAGAACATTTGGAGCATTTAATAGTGTATCTCTGTACTGTACATTGAAATGTTGGCATCTACAAAAATAATATTCAAATAAAAGAAAATATATAAATCCCTCTATGCTGGAGGTAACTTTTTAAAATTTGCTAAGTAGATGGTAAATTTGTGAGAAAAATGCCTAAGAACTTTTCTTACATCAATTTTAGGGTTAGAAATATGTTTCTTGTAATTTGGCTGAAATGTACTTGCAATTTCATCACAAAATGTCCCTATATGTTGAGTCCATGTCCTCATGTTGGGCCTTTTTTATTAATTTTTTCTGGGAAAATAAGTGTCCCTATGTTGAATTGACTGCATGTGGGAGTCTCACTGTACATTATTACAATATTCTTTTTTGATGAGGACATACGAATGTTCCCGTGTATCCCATCTGCCATAACACAAGTCAAGACCGCCAATGAATGCGTAATTTTGGTCGATGGCGATAATTTTCTCGTGATTCGACCACAGCCAAGTGACATGGTGTCTGAGAGTCAGAGTTTTTCTGTACAGCCGCTGCGGGTGTCGAATGATGTGCACATTTTTATGCAAACCTTTCAGCAGATTTGCAGTACGTTTTGAGCCGAGATCCACTGCTCTTTCGATCTCTTGGTAAAGGAGGATGAAGATTTTCACCCCTCGATGCTGAAAGATGAAATACGATGAATTAACTCGGAAACTTGAAGTCATGATGCTTGAATTTGGAGTGTGAAACGTTTGAAGCTTAAATTTATTTCAGAAACTAGTCCATGATGTACGAGGGTTCTAACAAAATTTCTCGGAGTAGCAATGAAAATGGCATACAATTGAGCTGAAAAAAATTATTCTCTAGCGAAAACATATTCTTTGGCACACAAAAAAAAATCAGCCCGGTTTGACTATTTTTTTTTAATTTTTTGCAAAATCCATTTATATAGAGTTTTTGATCTCTTCAAACAGCCGCCACATTGGCCGCCATTTTGGCGGCTGTGAAGGCGGCTGTTGATGAAAATGGTGGAATTACCTTGGATGACCTGGAGGCAACCCTTAGAAAGATAGTCGAGTTGATTTCAAAAATTCTGAGGGGAAAGCTGGGCAGCAACAAAAAAAGTGCGCCTCATTTTTTGAGTGGAGAGCAAAACTCTATATGAATGAATTTTGCAAAAAATTAAAAAAAATAGTCAAACCGGGCTGATTTTTTTTGGGTTCCAAAGAATATGTTTTTGCTAGAGAACACATTTTTTTCAGCTCAATTGTATGCCATTTTCATTGCTACTCCGCGAACTTTTGTTAGAACCCTCGTAAGTTTTGCAGATAAACTCTTGGGATCTATACGCCACATCCTGAATGGTTTGAAGTTTCCGATGCGGGAAAGAATTTTCGGACCCTAACAAATTTTAGTTCTAGCGAACAAGAAATGGTGGGTTAAGCACTTGTAAATACAAGCTAGAATGGCATTCGTCGAGGAATATCAATTTTAGCAAGTTGCCAATTTTACATACTGTATTCTCTATTTTTCACTACTGAACTCAGTTTACTGCATTTGCAACCCCGGGACATTTATTGTCCCATAATTTTTCTCGAAATTCTGGTCAGCTTCAAACATTTAAATATCGGCCAAATTTTTGCTGTTTTGGGAAAATATGCAGGAATACGTTGCACTTCTTGCACATATGACATGAAATATTTCAATGAAATATTGTCGTGTGCTCGAAATGCATGAATTCAAATTCATGTACAGCCCAGAGAATATTCCTAAAATATATTTTTCGCCGATCCGTAATAATAAACGTGTTCTCAGCAATTACCTGCAGGTCTTGTGCAATGATCCTGTCCTAAACATTGAAAGACTTGAAAAAATGCATATAAAAATATTTAAAAAACTTCGTGATCAGGATTTTAATAAAAAGGAACGAATTTCCATATTACCCCTGTCAGTCATAATTTTAGGCATCCACCCTAATTGCAAAACCAATATAATCTCATCGCAACAAATCTCCGTATAACGAATTAACGCTCACAGCAAATTAATTTTTTCTCAGTCCTTCACTTTCAATGCTATTTTAATTAACATTGAATTTTTTATTAGTTTATAACAAAGCTTTTTGAAGATCGCAAATGCGTCATTGCTGTAAAGAGATTCTACTGCGTATAGAAAAAAGGGCTGTCTTAATTTGATACAGCGTATTATATTCCCACAGTACAGATGTAATTGTAAAAAGAAATTGTTAGATAGCCCATGATGTTTAAAAGTTCTTTTTCGATTGTGAAAAAAATCTCAGTTGATGAGTGAAAAATCTCCAGCTACAGCCGGAGTTCTCCACTCATGTGACAGGGTGCTAACAATTTGTCAGACCAGCTAAAAAATTAAAATTGTGTGTTGGCTCAAACATTTCTTTTCTTTTCTACACTTTGGATGATGGTTAAAACAATGAAGACATTTCAAATTCCATAGTACCCCTGTCAAATTCCATAGGCCTGACAAATTTTCATCTCCATGTGACATAGGTATTAGAGAGCTGTGGCTTCAACTGGAAAGCTTTCACTTATGAAAAACCTATACATACAGTAAATTATTTTTTTTTATCCCTTAAAATTCCAGAACATTTATTGGAATATCATGGAGCATGTCACGAATTATTATCTCTTTTTTTTTTTTACAATCACGCCTGCTCTAGAATTATATCAAATGTCCAACTGGGATATATCCCTCCTAAGTAAAGAGCTTCTTATATATTACAGCTGCTCGTTGGAGAGTGAAATCCAGGCGCCAGTAATCAGGATTGAAGTGTTCCTCGCGTTTGGCCTTTTTCGATCTGCGTTTAAGGAAAACCTCGGGCGTCAGCCACCAGTCAGTGATGAAAATCTCTTCCCTCGCATCCTCGATGGCGTTCGCCACGCTTTCCATGAACGTCGCTCCGTCCACGTACCAAGCCCCGTAGCTCTTGGGTCTCTCGGGGTAAGAACTTCCGAATCTTTTGTTGCCAGGAGAAAAAAAAGAGACAATTAATTCATCTGATGGGAATGCAGTAAAATCTCGTGATAATGAAGCCGTTGGGATCAGTAAAATACAGTCAACCCTCAATTTAGTGCTCTCGGGTTAACAACTCCCAAATCTTTTGTTGCTTTTAAAAAATAATAATAATGATCTGCGAAGCTGGTCTTATCCATAAATGCATGTGCATGGGTTAGATTCCATTCAACAGTTTTTTAAAGGCACCCGCAGAAGCACATAAATAGTGCAGCTTATTCAGAATCTATAGTTACTGGATAAAAAAATTTCAAAATTCAGAACAACAGATGGGGGTTTTCAGTTTTATTAAAATCACGGAACTTTCACAATTTTACTCTTATTAAATTCATGACATTTTTTGTAAAAATTATTTCTGGTCTCTCGGGATGAGAATTTTCAATTATGTATGGCCGAGACGGAAACAAATATACGAGTTCAATCGAAAATGTCTTACGTGAAGACTAGATTCAGTTTAACAAATTATTTTTCATTTTTGTGAATTCTTTTTTATTCTGTTGGGAAGATTTATTTTGCTAGGAATTTCTTAATTTTTGCCGACAAGAAATAAACTAGAATTTGAAGGAATAAGCGTATTTTTTTGGGAAGAGAATCCATTTCTTTCATGAATGTTTATCAAATGTTTTTTCTCGTCCCTATGAATTTCTCTTGCATTATTATTATTTACTCGCTTTTCGTTTGATGTCTCATCATTGCCAGATGTCTCCGTGTATTATTATTTACTGTAGCTTTCCTGTGAATTTTCCGTGCCTTTCATCTTAAATTAGGATGGAACTTCAAAAGGAGATTCATGATTGATGGAAATCCTCTGTACCCATCAGTTCCTCATTGAACGAATCAATTTATTCTAGCCTCAGTGATAATTTAAAAAAAAAGAACATTTCTTCGATTTTCCGTCTTCTTGGGAAATCATTCTTTATTTTTCTATTACAAAATGAAATAAAACCTGCATACAGCATTTTTAAAAAAACCAAGAATAGCCCGAATTCATGAGGAACGCATGGGACCAATGGGTATCACCCGACTCACTTTCATTCAAGCTTCATCATGATAGGATGGAAGAAAGGAGGAATTTAATAAAATGCGAGGATAAATATCTTGATACCCACTCGGGGAAATTAAAAAGCCTGATGGTGGGATTGATTTGAGTCATTTTCTAAAAAAAATTGGAGAATGTTCCCTGGGAATGCGAGGCGAAGATTTTTCATCCATTTAATGTTTTTGAAATGAAAGGAATCTGCTGCTTTGACTCATGCTTCAGTTATCAGCTTATTCTGATGCCCGAACGCACTTTTTGACCAACGGAAACCCGGGTTATTGAATTAGTGCCCTTTAATTGTAAATGGTTATAGATATTTTAAATATCGATTTTTAGAGGTTTCATTTTTACTTGAAAAGATTTCGTTCTTTGAAACCAATAAAATTGTACTTTTCCTACGAACGATTCTAAAATGACGTAAAATTTTGAACGAAATTATCAAGCATGAAAGGCACTATCTTGGGTTTCAAGTCAATTTTTTGTTTAATAACCGCAATTCACAATCTAGTCATTATTATACAAGTATAGACTCTCTCCACAAAGATTTGTCTTCCACGATTTTTTCTGCATAACGGGTCTTTTTCGCCTCACGGGGGTTCTCTTTAGTCTACACTCTCTACAGCTAGGGTATACAATAAGATGCAATCTATGACATTTCCACCCCCCTGGAATTTTCGTTGCCGAGAGATTCCTCTTTTATCGACGTATGTTTGAATTATGTACTCCTAAGCTAACGGTAGTTCTCTTTTAAATGCCATCGAGGGTCACGAGGATTTTTTCCTGAAAGTTGTTGAAAACCGTCAAGATGTAAACAAGCATATTATTGCCAATGCGAAATAACCTGTGGTAACGAGCGTAATCACGAGCCCCGGGAAGAATGGGCAAGGTGGCGAGTTCTGCGTACCAGTTTTCGAACCAGTTCTGGGAGCGGAACCCTATTCGCAGTTTTATACTCTTGTTCCCAATCACCATACCACCCTTTTTGTCCTTGTCAGGCTCCACTTGATACTGTTGGTCAACCAGAATCACGAAACAGAGTTTTCCGGTTTGTGGCTTATACACCGCTAGGAAACTGTCTTTGATTGCCAACCAGCGCATCCTGTAAAAATAAATAATACGATAAAAATAAAAAATAGAAAATTTTTACAGAATGCTGCAATTGCAGTATTTTTAGATTCTACGAAGACAGCAGAGAGAGAGAGAGAGAGAGCAAATGAGATAATTGTCATGAAAGAAGAAATTGAGAGAATAAATGAAGAAAAAATATAATAAAAAATCGACCGAGAAAGGTAATTAAGGAGAAAAGATAAGAGAGCTGGAATATTAAGAGTAAGAAGAGAAATACAGTATGCAGTTATTTTTTTACAGCAGTGGGCCCCACTTCAGAAAAGGCCCATAAAAATGTGCATAAAATGTCTTTGAAGGAAAACATGGATTTGCACCGCAACATTTTTTCACAAAAAAATTCTTGATACAAAATTTTTAAATCTCATGCATGATCATTTTTGAGCTGAAATTTTGGATTTTTTGAAAAACTTATTGGGGCAAATGAAAAAATAACCAATCAGTTTTGCCTCTTCACCTCTCTGGGATTCTTGAATTTTGGAAAGTTAAGAGCATACATTAGTTATCTGAATTTCACATTGATAAATTTCAAATTTACAAATGTATGTTTTGAACTTGAAAAAAAAATAATATGCAGAGGTGAAAGTCAGTGAACCTACCACCATTTAAAAGTTGTTTGTGTATTTATAGCTGAAATCAACTTTTGCCTTAGCTTCTAGAAACAAAAAGCTAAGAATTTTATAAAATAACTCCGTCAAGTGCAAAAATGTAAAATAAATAAAAGGAAAAATGGGCGACCAAGTTGACGGAAAAGTGATGGGAAAAGTTAAAGATATCGATTGAATCAACGATGGATTTCTAGAATGCTCGTCCTTTTGCAGAAGAAAAGAAGGCTGGCTTAATCAAAGTATAAAGTTAAGTTTCAAATAAGGGATTAAGGATGAGCTTTTTTTTACCTCTTGAAAAAAAATTCGGAGCACGTGAGCGAAGTCACATATTCCACCAAGGGCTTCGTGCCAACCACCTGATAGTCCCTCAGTTGCACATAGCCCTCATACAACTTGTCACCCATGTCTGTGACCAAGGAAATTATGCTGAGACCCAAGAAATCCAAAATTGTGTCCTGATCAAACGAGTCATCCGCGCTGGGGAGAAGCATCATGCAGAAAATAGATTTTCAAAACATCTCCTTGGATTATGGATCTGGGAATTAATTATTGGGAATACATGTGACTCAGTTAATTACCACTTGATCAAATTGAATATTGAGACAGTCATCATCTGCAATCTATATATATGAACCAAAAATTACAGTTGAGCCTCTGTAAGTCAAATTTCAAGGGACCAACAAACAAATTGACTTAAAAAGGTTTTGAGTGAATGAGTGATGGAGGTTTTGAATGAGGAAAACAGGCATTTTTGTTGCGGGAAGCATAGAAAAAGTACAGGAAATTTAAATTGGTGGTATTTCGCTATTTAAATTTCTTTCTAAAGGAGTTGATGGGGTGCTGAACTTGGAGACAGGGGTTCATTTGCCAAATTAATCTTCCATATCTTTTCAAAGCACAACTACATAGTTATTTTTCATTGCTTTTCTCTCTCCTGTCCTGTGTCAAGAAAATAATTGGCAAAAGGCCTAAACATATTTGAGTTACAGAGGCTTAGATAGAAACGTTTTGACTTGAAGTGGTTTTTAATTTTTTTTTCTGGATAAATTCAGATGGAGACAAAAAAAGACGGATGGATTTTATTCATCAATGTCCAACTGTAAGAACAACTGCACTGCTTTATCTTTCATTTGGTGGGGAAATATATACAGTTTATGGATACTGTACATAAAAATGCAACTGAAATATATAGAATGTACAATACATATGAATAGAATTGCATCTGAACTGTAATGTGCTGTATACTGTACATTCAACTATGAAATGGACATTTAACTACAAAATATACATTCAACTATGATACTTACCTTAAACTATATAATATGCACATATCAATACAAAATGCACATATCAATACAAAATGCACATATCAATACAAAATGCACATATCAATACAAAATGCACTTTTAAATAAATTATAAATACTTGACTATACAATTTCCATCTGACTGTAAAAGGCAGATTCAACCATATGTCCATATGTACATTCCACATTCAATTATTCAACCCACACAACTATAATCAATCCACATTTTAATATAATCGATGCAATTTCAACTATATAATAGGCAAATGTGAGCACATTGTTAAATCTTCGCCAGAGTGGCTATGAAATTAAAATATAAAATCCAAAGAATGTATAAAGAATATCCTTATATAAACTACGGTACTATCTATAAATAAAATGCACATACTGTATCAGACTGATACTTGCACATATCTAACTAGTATAATACTGCATAGTATCTGATACGATTGAACTCTATATTTATGAGTCAGAATTAAAATGAAACGGAATGAAACAAACGCCAGAACGTCATTCAAGTAGATTTCAAACTCGTGAGCCCGTCGCTTTGCGCTTTCTGGTGGCACGTCGGAGTCCGGCGGATATGGGAACACGGGAGTGAATTTAGACACAGACGATTTCCCGCTGGCGATTCTCCGCCAGATGGCGTTTGCAATGAGAGAATCCTCGATTTCTCCGAAGTGTTCGTATTCTCTGAACACACACCACGAGAACGGGCCATGAGTCACGAACACCTGCCATGGAATTCCAGCATTGTGGCAGTGATCCACACCAAGAAAGGCTTGGTTTGTATATAAGATGTACAGTAAATATGCAGGTGGACTCTCATCCCTCTTCAACAAACTTCAAGAAGGGACCATAAAATTTTTTGTGTAGAGAGGACGAATCCGCTGTAAAAACCCCTATAATATGGAACTAGAATTCTATGGGACCGCAAAAAAAAATTACACAGAGAATATTTTGTAGACAAGATTTTTTGTAGAGAGCTAGCCCAAATGTGTATACAAAAGTTTTGTGAGTTATTTCCTGCTACATTATACTGACTCTTCCTTACAATGTCCAGATAATTACAGTATATATACACGATAGTATTTTAGAAAAATCTCTTGCATAGCATACTGCAGGAGTATAATAATGTGCTGTGTGGTCCATCTTTTTTATGCATATATTGTACAGTATTATGGTTTGTAAAAATAATGTAATGCCCTTCTTCAGGATTGAAGATTCTCCCAACCTCATATTCATAAGGATCTGGTCCATGTTCCAAGTGTCGCCGGAACCGCACTTTGATGTCGAATTTAGCATGAGGTAACATGGCTCTTCTTTTCTTGAAGGGAACCGGAGGATTTTGGAGGATGGTAAATCTGAAGGGAAGCACATCAGTATCTTTGGCTGGTCCTTTGTGAGTAAACTTCAGGAAAGGTGTATAATAAGCATTGCTCTGGCTGCCTCTGCTGGAGCCTCCATCATCAGGAAGTTCTTTTTCCGTGTCTGCTGGGCTTTTTGTTGAAGATTTGTTTTTGGTGGACTTCTTGAAAAAGCTGGATACATATGGAATAATTAAATATAAGGGAACTTATTTAATGGTAATTTAAAAAAATATATATATATGTTTATGGTACTGTATGTTGTAAATTATGTAATTATTATACAGTGGCCCCCCGCCTAATGGACATCTTGCTGTACAGTTTTTTGCCAAACCGACTGCCTCTGGAGGTTGTTCCCCCATCAGTCTAACGGACTGAATCCACCTAACGGACTTCAGTCCAGAATGCAAGTTTTTTTTTCGTTAACATTTTCAAACTAAAATTGAATTAAAATTTTTTAAATGTAAACCTATGAGGAAACTGAACTTGCCTAACTGCTTTTTTTTGCCTAAAGGACTAATCCGTTGCACAATTTATACAAGTCAGTTAGGCGGGGGCCACTGTACTGTATTTGTGTGATAAACTTCATTCTTATAGACAGCACTTACATATCCATGTAGGTTTCTATGCACAAATGTACACGGTATACAAACTTCAAAGCCTTTTTTGATGATACGTTTTATTTAAAAGTTTCTCTTAAATATATACAGCATATATAATATGTATATATCCACGCGGAGGCTGATCATACACAGGATTTTTTAAATATTGTATATATTTCATGCAGCGACAAATAACATACACATAGACAATTTATCGTAAGCCACTGCTGTATATACAAAATATTATTGTAGCTATAGCTACAATAATATTTTGCTGATCATACACAGGATTTTTTAAATATTGTATATATTTCATGCAGCTACAAATAACATACACATAGTATAGTGCTGATAATACAATAATATTTACTACAATAATATTTTGTATATACAGCATTGTAGCTATTATTGTAGCTATAGCTACAATAATATTTTGTATATACAGCAGTGGCTTACGATAAATTGTCTATGTGTATGTTATTTGTAGCTGCATGAAATATATACAATATTTAAAAAATCCTGTGTATGATCAGCCTCCGCGTGGATATCTACATATTATATATGCTGCATATATTTAAGAGAAACTTTTCAATAAAACGTATCATCAAAAAAGGCTTTGAAGTTCGTATACCGTGTACATTTGTGCATAGAAACCTATACATGGATATGTAAGTGCTGTCTATTAGAATGAAGTTTATCACACAAAAAGTTAAGTTGACCATTTTTAATGTAACAAATACAGTATAACAAAAGTGAAATAAAGAAACAAGCACAAATCCAAACCAATCTCCACTTTATTAATACAATATCAACGCTCTTTAAAGTCTTAATACAGTATTAATGTGTTTTGATCTGGATGATCAATCCGTTCCATTCTATTAATTGATGCGTCTTATATTCAGCATAATTTAATATTTTGAACATATATACACAGTACATGATACAGATCAGCACTATACGAGGGTTCTAACAAAAGTTCTCGGAATGAAAATGAAGATGGCGTCGAATTGAGCTGGAAAAAAATTATTCTTTAGGGCAACCATATTCTTTGGCACAAAAAAAAATCAGCCCAGTTTGACAATTTTTTTCAATTTTTTGCAAAATTTACCCTGGCAGAGTTTTGCTATACACTCAAC